CATATATTAGGGTGGCGATTTCATACTACGGTTGTATCATAGTATAATGCAACGACACTACTTGAAAACTATGTTTGTGTTATTTGTATGACCCAAAATTTTGCACACACACTCTTGTCATCGCAATAATCAATCCAAAAATAAAAATTTCTATTTGAATCCTAGATATGGTCAAAACGGTCTCTTCCAAACACGAATATATATATATATATATATATAGATATATATAGATATATATATTCTTTTGCGTTGAAAAATTTTGTTGGGCTTTGTAAAGCCAAGTTTTTACTACTCCAAAATATTTGACCCTAACATACCCTTGTGTTTTGAAAAATGACTTTTGAGTATAATTAATTCATGTATTTGAAGAAGGGCATTTTTGTTTTTTCAAAATCCAACCAAAACTCAATTTCAAATTTAAGAAGATTCTTTTGACATTTTGAATGATGAGTGGATCTCTAAATCAATTTAAAATTATAAATAGGGAAAATTACATACATATTTGTTATACTTTGCGTTATTACGGATTCACCAAATAGTTTTTGTTATTACATGTCTGTCATTCTTTTACCTTTTATAACGTAATTTTTTAAAAAATATGACTTTACCCTCCTTAAGGTTTTTTGGAATTTTACAATTACATTTTCGGATGTTGGCAATGCAAGCTTTCTGAAATATGATATTGTTCAACAATAAAAAATACATTGAATTCGGATGTTGAACATCCAAAAAATCTTTCAATTCGATTGTTCAACACCCGAAAAAGGCTAAAGTCATCTTTTTTTAAAATTTATGTTATGAAAGGTGAAAAACGGATAGACATGTAATAACGGAAACTATTCATATCAGTAATAATGCAAAATATAACGGATATATTTGTAAGTGCATCTTATTGTCAATAAATTTAAAATAAGAATCCTAAATTCAATTTGTTCTCTCCCTGTATTATTCAAGATAGAAAATATATACTGGGCTTTTTATCTGTTCTTTTTTATTAATATTATAAAAATGTATGGGGAAATATCATCTTTATTTCAGGCGTGGAGTAACAATAGATTGCATGCTGCACAACATCGTGTGATGATGAAGGGAGATAAAACAAGGTTTTCGTGTGGATTGTTTTCTACACCCCGAGATGGAATGTTGGTAGAGGTACCTACAAACCTCGTCGATGAAAAGCACCCCTTGGCCTACAAACCATTCATTTTCTTGGACTACCTTAACTACTTCTACAAGGATAGTGGACTCAAGGACAATGCTCTTCAGACATTTGCTGGAATCTAAATATTGCATACTACTAATTATGGGAGAAGACTGGGTCATCCACAATATAAGTTGTTTTTTTCTTTTGTGTTTTCTTCCTTTCTCTTCAGACATTTGCTGCAATCTAAATATTGCATACTACTAATTATGGGAGAAGACTGGGTATCCACAATATAAGTTGTTTGTTCTTTTGTTTTTTTTTTTTTTTTGTGAAATGAATGAGCTTCATTCATGCACTTTGTCATCACATTCTTGGTATGTTTGCGATGTTGCAGTAGAATTTGGTTCCACATGCAAGCCTTGGACTTCAGTAATTTTTGCAAATAGTTGATGGAGTTCTATTTAGATTTGTCCTTAAAAATAATAAAGTATTTATGTTCAGAATGCACTCAAAACTAGGTGTTCAGGGTAGCACGGCCCCACTATTTAAATGCAATGTTATATGTCATGTCATGAGACCTGGATGAAGTTTCTATAGGTCCTAGACTTTATGAAAATGAAAGCCCGTGCTATGTAGCATCTATAATGGGCTGACATCTGCGACGAATACTGAGAATGTTTTGGGGGCATCCAGAATCCATTTTCCATCCACTAAATTTATGGGTGGCTTGGAGCTTATTTTTCGGGCACCTACAAGTATTCTTTAGACACTAAAGTTGACACCTTCCCCTTTTGGCATTGCCTAATGGGAAGCAGGGCAGTCTTCCACTTGCCTGTTCAAGCACGACGATTGTTCTGGGAAGACAACTTCCTTCGGCTCATGCCCTTTCCCATTGGCGATACCCGGGAAGGCCTTTTCATGGACGAATATGCACTTGGGGTCGAGAGGACCCCAACCACTGATTGGGAACATCCGAGCATCCTTACTTCGTCTGAGAGTGGGCAACCATCGGTTTGTTGAACCCTACAACCCGCATCGCTTCGTTGAACCCTACAACCCACATCGCTTCGTGAAGCAACATCGGATGGACCAGCATTGTCCCATCTTCTACAACTTCACTAGGCATGGGTGCTGGTCGAACCTCCAAGTGAAGTCAGCATGGGATTCCAGTACCCTGTTGGGTCAGTCTTGTAGGTTCATCATCCTTAGCAATCGTCGGAAAGTTTTCATGACTCAGAGCTATTGCTCTTGGTATCATGAATACCAGTGGGGTTTCATTCAGGGGCCTATCAATGGTATGCTAAACTTTCGAGAAGATGGAACCTCTCGTACTCTCTTCAAATCAAAATTTGACAGAGTTTTGGTGTGCTAGGTAACTGGATTGCGCTTCGTTGAGGGATGGAACATGAAAAGCGTCAACCATCCAAAGAGTGCGATTGCTTCAGGAGGGGTGATTAGGGAGGTTCGAGCGTCATTCTATCAACACCTTGATGAACTACTGGCCCTTAAAATGAAGACCTTAGGACACTCTCATCAATCCTAGGACTATGAGAAGATAAAAGTATCTGATGAGCATCGCTAGGCCCCTATTTTAGTGGTTGATTCTAAGAGAGAGAAGTCGTGCAAGGGTTAAGCGGCTTCATCAAGCGAGTCTTCATCTGGGCGAAAGAAAGAGAAGGAGAAAGAGGGGTCAAGCCCTTCTTCCATTAGAGGAAGCTAGTAGTAAAGCAAGCCAAGAGAGGTCATTATCCCTCTCATATTGTCAAATAGAACCCATTGGGGATCGTAACATGAGCCCGAAAGCAGTAGATCATGGATCAGAAGTAGTTCATGATGTTATCCCATTGGTTGAGGAGGCCTTTAGATTAGAAGCAGCTATGTGGGAGGCACTGGGGGCAGCTAATTCGGATTCTCAGGGCAAGAGGAAGGCAAACTATTTTGCTCCCCTGCAATCACGTTTGAAGAGGCCTTCCAAGAATACCAAGAGCTCAGGCTCTCATGAAGAAGTTGCTAAAGCATCTGCTACTCCTCCATCGTCAACGTCTTTAGCCTTAATTGTTCCCAATAAAAGTACGCGAATTTTTGTGGCCAGGGAGGCGTCTTCTAGGTTGGAGCTTCGTCAAACGACGAAGGCTAGGAAGTCAGTAAAGTCAAAGATCATTCAGATAGACTCTCTGCCTCTCCAGATTCTCTGGTTTTGAAATCAGAGGCTCCTAAAGAGAATTCTCCTTCTACCAGTTAGAAGATGGGGCAGTCGATTGCTTCTAATCTAAAAGAGGGTCTTATTGACAAGTTAAAGGGGCATGATCCAGCCCGCGAAAGCTCTTCTTGTGGTCCTAATAGGACAAAAAGTCCTACTCTAGAAGCTGAACATGCTCTGGATGAGTTAAGGAAGGAAAAAGGAAAAGTATGTATCATGGAGAAAGATCCTTCGGCTGTTGACTCTTCTATTGTGGTTGCTATGTTGGCGGTGGCATCGTCAACTGTGTCATTCCTTACCCAAGCAGATGTGGATGTAGAGCTGACCATTGTTTATGGCAAGTTAGATAAAGGCGAGTTCTCCTATGCTAATCCGCCTGCGTCGGGGCTTCCACCCCCACCAACTGTAACACCTGATGCTGAAGTGCAGCAAGAAGCTCAAAAAGATGGCGCTATTGTGGCCATGAAGAACACTGGGACTTCTGCTCCTGCGTCTCATCTCCAAGATACTAAGTCTAGAAAGGTCGAGGCCAAGACTCCCAAGGCATCAAACGTAGTTGACGCTCCTGAAGTGCTAAAGAATGATCTTGTAGGGGCTCTGATCGCAGTTGCTAGGGATCCCGAGGGCCTCATGGAGTTGATTCTCAAATATCCCTCTTTGAATAGTACACTTCAAAGGAAGATGAGTGCCAATATGGTGCGAACAATATTTAATGCGATTGGCAGTAGCTCGCTGCCCAGCCTTCAAGATATCTTGTCAACAACTTCTCCAATGATATCTTGCACTGGGGCAATGGGAGTAGATGAAGACAAGCTTTTGATATTAGTTGATCCACAAAACATAACTTTTGACTGCGAAGGACTTGCTCATATCTTCCCTCTCATGATGACCGAAGGAGAGGAAGCCAACATTTGACTTGAAGAGGTAGACGTGACAACAGAGCGAGATTTGAAAAGACTGGCAAGGTCGTGATCCTAACATTTGTTAAAAAGACCGAGTAGTTAGGTGCCTCGATCTCACCTTTCGGATCTAGATGATTTGGTGGCACATATCTCGGGTTTCTGGTGAACCCGAGATTTAAGATCGCTCTCTTAGAACTTTGCTCGAGGTTAAAGGTAGGTATACCAACAGATGAGAGAGGAATTTGAGGTAAGTTCAGGACTTACCCGGGCTAGCTCATGTGGGTGCCCTCTTAGATCATGAATAAAGCCCCCTGCTACTTGAGCTGGTTCGGAATCGCCTCCCTTGATCTGTAATCCTCTTGTTTTTCTCCACAACACAAGTGAGAGGGACCCACACTTGTCTTAAGGCAATGCATGCTCATATGATAAGGTGACGAAGTGCAAGGTTCGATGAAAGACAGAAAAGAGAAAAGAGCTTGATGGAGGGGTGAGACTAGCATGATGACCAGAAGTTACCGACTCGGAGTGGTAGCAAGATGGGCATGGTTCACAGGACCAGAACAGCGGCAATACTACTTGAAATCGAGTTCGACACGGCGGTGCTAAGCTAAGTCTACCCTCAGTCAAGTGAGAAGAGAAAGGGATGAAGAGATAAGAGAGAGACGACAAAGAGAAGAGAAATCCGGACGTTAATAGACATTGTCGTTGGCAAGCGAGGAGACAACACACCCTTTGAGAATAGTGCTAACTCCTGGCGGGGCACACGTCAATAGTTTCTCTTAGGTCGCACGACGATAGCCATGGGAGGCAGGGAGAACAGCGATGAGCACCAGACACGCGGAGGAAGCTTGCAGACAGTGATGGGTGTTGCCGGAGCCTCTAGCGGGCTACGATAGGTATCACCGTCTATACTAAACGCACAACAGGGGAAGACCCCTGCAAGCGACAACAAACTTTTCCGTCTGGGTTCTTCATCGAGACGTCAAAACTACATATGTGGGCGGCGATGGGCAGTGCCGTCTACAGACCTCACTAGAAGAAAGATACTGACAAATAGAAGGGAATGGAGACTCGCGCATGGAATTTCCATCACCATGTGCGACCTGTGAGACTAAGGGAGAGGTATGCATGGCGTTGCCACTGCCGTGCATGACCTTTGCAGGGAACTCAGGCGAAGAAGAGGGAGAAGAGAGGGGAGAAGAGAGAGAGAAAAAGAAAAGAAAAAGAAGAAAGAGAAGGTTTACCTCAAACCTAGGGGTACTAGTCATAACTTTCTCTTACCTCACTCTCTCTCTCAAACGTGACACAACAATGGTAAGAAAGAGAAACTTGTATTAAGTGAAAACTCTCTCTTTTGCAAGGAGATGACTCCTGTGTGTGTGTGTCTGTCTCTTTCTGCGTACAATGATGGTACGTATATATAGAAGTGTGCCCCAAACATGGGTGGATGATCAAAAGTAAACCTAATTGTTGGAAATTAAGATTAAATTCAATTAAAAGAAATTAGAAAATAGGGTGCAAAATGATAGATTTGCCCCTTCCTAATAAGTTGTGGAATTTCAGAACAGTCCCTTTGTTGCCCTAGAACTTGTGTGATCTTTAATGGCTGATTCGAGGCTGTTCTGATGCTCAGTTGATTGTAAGATGATTGTTTTTGTGTAGGGCTGCTAGTAGCATGATTCGGCTGCTCGAGCGAGGCACAGTGCTGCTGAATTTTCTGTACTTTCTTCACGGATCAATAACTTCTCTCTAGTTTTTCTTCATGCTCAGTTATCGTGATGGGGCGTTCTACATATCGAATCACTCTTCTTGACACGACGAACATGCTCACCAAATTTGAACGTGATCCGACCTGGGATGAGTGAGATATGACTGTCGAAAGTCATTATTCGTGACTATCCCTTCAATGGGGTAGTGTTGCAGGGTGGCTGCATGGGAATAGCATGTGGCTCCTCCTGTTTTACTCTTTCGCTTATAATTTCTTCTTGAAATTTTTGTTTGAGTTAAAATTTGACCCTTGGGGGCTTTCAACCATGCCGAATCCAATAGCGGTGGTTTCAGAACTGTTTCTTAGTCTGCACTGCCTTAGACATGTCGGAATGCGACGAAACTTAGCAGGATACTTTTAAGAGACCTCATGAAGAGCCAGTGATGGGGCTATTCTGATACTGTCAAAATTTCC